AAGTTATGAGGTAAAAAACATACAGTCGAATTGAGTAGCTTTTCCTTTTTGAAGTCGGTAGACAAACTGACACTATTCTCACTGTAACGACAGCCTCTTCTTCTTCTATTTATTATATTATTACAGTACAGTAGATTACAGTATATAATTTTTTTTAAATATTACACTATTTTGCCGTACTATATATAATCGTTTGGTGACCACACGCGAATAAAGCAACCAAGCATTGCTTATTCCAATTTCGTGATCGTGCGATCGCGTCACATCGATCGCACGATCAAGTGCGAAAGTTAGTTTAAAATTGAAATATCTTTTTTTTATTTACAGCCTATTTAAGCATAGGTGAACATTTCATCAGAAGTAAAATTCCAGCCATTATGGAGATTAGTGTGCACAAACATACAGATAAACGGTTAAGAAAAGTCACGATTTTACTAATTAATACTACCATTATTATCGTTACTACTCCATCCATTCATTCGATTCATTATATCAACAGGCTTAAAGTCCACTGTTGAATGACTGAACTGAACTGTGTCATAAATGTAACGCTTGGCAAGCGAGTTGGCAACTGCAGTTTTTTATTAATTTGAGTTGTTATCGTGAAGATGCTATTAACTGAAATATGGAATGAGTTCCTATTTCAGTTTCTTTCTGTCACCTCGTACGACACCCACGGGACGATATAGGGTAGTTGATATTCTTACACCGACACTACACGGCTAACAACAACAGCTACTATACTTAATACAACCATATACTTATTTATTACTTGCTCTAAATGTATAATATTATAAAATATATAAGTTTTTATAATTAAATAATCCAAAACTGAAACTCATATTCAATCGGTGTTTTTGTGATTAAAATGTGTTGTTGTTATTAATCATTTATAAAAGCAGCAAATTCACATTCTGTGTGCCAGCCCTTGCTAAAAACAGGCGTCTTCTGATTTCTAAGAGAAGACAGATGCAATTTTTCTCCAAAAAATCACAATGTAACCTTTTAAATATATACATTATATGTAAAAATAAATCTAAGAGGAGACAGTGGTTATTTTTCTCATAACAGTTGCAATTTATCCTTATGAAATACATATACACATTATATGTAAAAAAAAGTCTTATCCAGACTAGAAAACCCTAATTATGTCCACGCACTCCTTTACGTATTCATCTAATTTATAATATCATTTCTTCATAACAATGATTTTTGCGCTTTGAATTTATGGAAAGGCAAATCAGTAATAATACGGTGAATCTTGTTATATCTTACTAGTTATACATGTACACGCATGAAAGACATCATAGTATATGTAAATCATAATAATAGTCCAGTTTCAAGTTACACCGAAATTTGATATTTACCAACACTATAATATACATATATTGTATGTCATTTTGTGTAAAATGCATAGAAAATTATGATTTAAAACTAAAAATCTTTTAAACAATTCATTAAGAAAGAAAAACATATTTTCTTAAACGATGGTGTGCCTACGACGAGCAAATTAATGTGACAGGTATCTCGGGAGGCCTTGCGGTATCTCTCCCTTAAATAAAGTACTTAATAATAGGACCGACTCTTTAGTTAAAAAGAGACAACATTAGGGCAAAATTGTGTCCATTGTTACAGGTGCACGTTTGTTGATATCTCTATTCATTATTTTAAATTGGCTCTTTAAATCTTCCTATACAGATGTTTAATTAGAACAAATCAGACAAGACCAGCAATATTATTGAAACATATTACGTACCTATGTGCTGTGACTAAAAAAGATATTAAGTCATTGCCATTTACAAATGTTGCTCGTGAATATCTTATATATTATATCATTTATACATGGCAGAGCCATGCTGCAGCTATATTAATGGTATAGTTGTAGCACGAATGGGTCGGCTCGACCGGGGCAGGACCATGATCTCACAGAACACCTAAGCAAAATAGCAGCTTAATGCTGCTGTATTTCGTATGGTTTTACTGGAAAAGAGGCATTCCATCTTAGTCCTCACAGCTGATAACGCATCTGCAATTGTGAGTCAAATACTCGTAAACAAGGACAGATGTAGATGTCTATGTCTAATCCTATAAAAAAAATGAAATTGATTAGAAAAATAAACTAAAATTAAAAAATTCTAGAAAAAGAATAGAAATTCCGAATTTGTCACAGAAACTCAATGATGACGAAATGGAAAGGAAAGCTGTAAAGTATCAGTAAAAACTTGTTTTATTCTCGCTATGGTTGGGCTAAGCTATAAAAATTCCGGTCGTCTACGTTGTACATTGTCTCCAATTTCGCTCATTCACCCGAGCTACGATGAAAAATATTTCAGCAAGAGTGGAATTAGCAAAGTTGTAGGGAATTCTACACGAGGGCACCACACATTGCCCGAATATTAAAAGGCGAATTAGACTGGCCACGACACGATGAGTTCATGAATGTTCTTATTAAGGCTCAACTTGCTAGGGGACACTTGAAGTTACGTGACAAAAGTAGCGGCTGCAAATTTAGCTTTGTAGGTTTCAGTGACATGGTAGGTACTGCAATCCTGACTTTCGTTGAAATTTGGAAAATAATAAACTGTCGGAAGCTCAAACCAATGAATATAACGATTATAAGTTTTATCATAAACTGACAATACGACAGCGGAAAGTTTCGTTATTTAATATTTACCGCTTTATTTATGATGTTGACATTTCTCTCAACATTAATAATATATTGGCTCTATTATATTTTATTATGTACAATAATAAAAACTATAATCTAAAATTAGAAACTTAATTATCATATAGTCCTACTCCCCGCAGTATCCTGCCAAGAACGCTCGCTGCGTTTCCCCGCTGAATGGCTATACTTAGCCTTTGAGCGAGAAAAGAACCAGCCCTCTTATCACCAGCAGCAACGACTAGCCGCGGATGGAGTTCCTTTAGGAACTTCACCACACGTGGACCCCACGGACCGATAGTCTCTACAGCAAATAGCACAAATATGTAGTCATCTCTCAGAGACTCATATTTGCGCCACTTAGTTCAGCTGCATCTGATGCCGCCCCAGCTGTAAACGAGGTACCCCTGAGATGAGAGGCTGCCAGAGTGTCTACGCAAGTAGCATCCCACATTAGGGCTTTGCCTCTCTCCCAAGGGACCAATGTCATACCGTCGGGTCTCCTGCCAAGGCTCTATTTGTTTACAATATTGAAGAAATAGTTTGTTCACTCTAAGTTGATGTAGCCGTGTGAAAGCAAGGTAACCCCCTTTCATGGTATAGGTGTCGTAAGTGACGACTGTAGAAAATGCCAAAAGGATCTCATGGCTTCTAATAAATAGCGGTAATCATCTGGTTTACGCGAGACGTAAAATACCTAGCTGGGTGATGAGAAATAGCGTGAAAGATAGGACCGCCAATCATCCACACCATCTGGATAATTGGCGGTCCACCACTGTGCGATTTAGAAGATGTTTTCTTCCTCGCACAATTTCCATTTACCACCAGCGATTTTTCCGGGCAGATACGACTTAGGGACCTTCAAGAAAAGAGCCTACTCCTTTTTAAAAGGCCGGCAACGCATCTGCAATTCCCCTGGTTCCACTGGTGTTGCAGTTGTTCATGGTGGTAGTCACTTACCATCAGGTGAGCATGCGGCTCAAAACGTGTGAAACTCAATTCCAATAGAATACTTTTACGGGCTGTCGAAATGAATTGAAGAAGTAGACGTTTTTATAATCAACCATAATCTCTACAACACAGTATTACCACGCTTAAAATTTTCAATATCTATTATTAAACTATCATCATAATTATCATTATTATCATTACACAAACACAAAGTAATAATCACTTCTAATATTTTTTTTAATATTTAAACGATATTATTCACAAATTTTTGCTATTTTATGAGTAATATTTTTGTACAAGTTAACCATATTACTGTATTTGATGATGGGAATATTAGTTGATAGTAGTTGTCGTACCTATCTGTAATATCGTCTGTTGTCTTTCCATGACGTTCCTATAATGAAAAGCTTTGATATCTAGACATGCAATTTTATGAAATGATTTTATAATGAAAGCTATTACACACACAAGCTGATATTTCATGCAAGAGCGTTTTATTACTAATTTCTTTAATACTATCATACAAGGAAATGATATTAAATAATATTGTAGAAATATAAAACCAAAACGTGTCAAGCTAACTCAAACCACATGGGACCTTTTCACGCCTGTGCGTATGAAGGGCTTGCAATTCCCACTCAAATAAATCACCACTAAACAAACGTTTCTACAGGTAAGAATAATTCAACGAAAGGTCACCTGTTACGGGTATTCGACATCGATCATCGGGAGTGCGTTCTGTCGACCTTCCCGCGTAATATGGCTCTGGGGAGCGACCGTTGCCGGCGGCTTTGCGCCGAGACAAAACCCTGAAGCCCCCGCTTGTCACAAAGAACTTGCTTTGTTTAAACGCACATTTTTTCCTCCATTCATTTCAAATCCGCCCCCATCATACCTTTATACGTGACACGTTTCATATGATTTGAAAATTTAATAAGCGAGGAGTTTCTAATGTAATTACATACTATACGTATTTAAAAATATCACGCGTTGACGTCATTACGAACATTAATGTTTTATGAAACTGATGTGGTTTCGGCACTATATTAAAAGTTAACGGCAAATTTTATAAATACTCTGTGGTGACCAAATTTAGGTATATGTAAGGTGACAGCACATCTCGGCTTGCGTGTATTGTTCGCGTCCTAACCGCCGACTTTCCATTTATTTCTCTATGAATACGTTATTACCTGCTCGCCCCGCTTATCAAAGTTTATTTGCAGCGTGTGGTTTACTCTGTACCGGTGCTTATTCGTTATTACAGCGCCGGAGTGTTTTATTGCCAGGGCGGGGCTAAAATCGCGGACGACGCCCTTGTTTTTCGCTATTTTCCCCCGATATCTTTTCAGGATTTGAAATTTATTGTATATTTTTCTTGTTACAGATTGAGGACGCCATGTTAATGTTCGACAAACAAACCAATAGGCACAGAGGTAAGTGACCAATTACAATTTAATTACGTATAATAATTTAATATAATTTATTTACTTGTGTGCAGGTTATCCTTTAAGGGTACCCGGCAGGACGTTGTTTAAAAGTTGTTTAGAAACTGTACTTATTGTAACTTTACGAAAATGTTTTTTTGATATGGAATTTCATATAATATTTTGATTGCAGAAAAAGTAAAAAAAATAAGCGTTTAAGTAAACTATCTTTCAAAATTTATTTTCTTAGCAAATATTTAAATATTTGCATGTGAAATAAGAAAAGCACAATATAATTTTTGTTAGCGTTTCGGCTCATTGCGCTGGTCGTCTTTGCCGCAAAGTCAATATTGGTTAACTGGCAACTGATAAATACAGTCACTGGCCTTCTATATAAATGTACCAACCACTATAGACCCCTCACAATTACATAGCGTTACTTTTTGTCACTATCTAAAGCTAGAAGAAGGAAAGATAATGCGGCTCCAGCGAGAATGGAGGGTGTTACGGCTCAGGCGTATCGAAGCGAATCGTCGGTTCGGGTAGCGAGCGTCGTCACTAAATAGGTTCACCATTTTCGGTATTGTACACCCTTCCTCGTGCTACGACTATACCCAACTAATAAATAACAAATCGAAGCACGAATAATATATATTTTAGTTCCGTAAAGATTTTTCTGACGATCTTTTTGCATTATAAATTGAGGGTAGAAGTGAAAATTCATATGTGTAATTATAATGTTTCGTCGTCCCGTCTCCCACTTCTATTTAGAAAAAATGGTACAGAAAGTCTTCAAATTGAACAAAATTATAAAACTTTAAAAAAACCAAAAAAAAAAAAGAAAAATTTGCATTTCCGAAGGAAGTGCGACAGGCGTTCACAGGGATTTACCAGCACCCTTCTCCCAACCCATTTCAATATTAAGGGGTAGTTAATCTAAAACCTTCCCAAAATTAAAAAAATTAAAAAAAAATTACAGTCGTTGCGCTTTATTACTTATAAAAAATAGTTTATGTAAAATACTTCCAAAATTCCAAAAATTTACCCCTATTATTTCTGTCACAGTGTAGGTATACTATAGTAACGTTATCACTTTGAAATATGCCCGCAAATAAATTGTTCCCTAAAACACTACAGTCCCCGGCTTGCGTAATCAGTTGTTCTCATTATCCCTAACGCGTAAGATTTTAATTAAAACTCACGAAAATTGTATCAAGGATGAAAATCTTTTGTTGCCAACGAAGGTTCCCTTGATGCTTCAAGCAGTTACAGAAATAAAATGTTGAATTTACTTTTAAAATCCTCATTACACAAAAACAGGTTGACCCAAATACTCGGCCTCGATGAAATATTGTAGTGTTATCATTTATGCAATCTTACAAAAACAATCCTGTTGCGTATTTAGCCAAGATAAAGTGAACTCTAGAATTATCGTTGTAGAATATCTAAAATCTGTGTGTTCTATTCGTCTCCTTCATTTTTTTCGAGATATTTGCTCAATATCTTAGGCCTGCTTCCACGACGCTCTTCTTAAATTATGAAGCTAGTTATAGAGCAATAAAAGGGGCACAAAAATGGAAAAACAGCGGGTTCAGACACCTTGGCATCGGTGACAAACATATTAGAAATCTCTAAAAAGTTAGTTCGTACTTGTATTAAATTAATAATTACGAACAAATGTATACATCGACAATTTGCCTAAATAGATGTTTCTTAGCTATTCACTTTAACTGTACATACCTTCGAGCATAATCCTTTAATTTGTGTGGGAATAGTTGTGTATCGACACGCGAGACTGTATGATGGTGTGTTGTAAATATCCGAATGTGTGAGAACATGTACAAATGCGAACTATGAGAACAAATGGCGTCAAATCATGAGGAACGACAGATGTGACAGATTAGTATAACTTTCGTTAATAGTATAAAATTGTAAAAAGCGGTATGCAGCGGACAGCGTTTCATTCTCGCGGACTTGATGAATGCGCCAAACTAAGTAACAAAAAATCAAAAGTAAACACTGAGTAAATATAACTGGAAGTGTTATAATGCAATGAATTGTATTTGTAGTACATATACAAGATATTTTAATAATTTTTCAAAAGTTGTTTTATTTTAAAAAGTTTAATTTCCTTTGGAAGTATGATATACAATTGAGCTAAGACTCTTTTTACCATTATTGACTCGCGGAGTACACTCCTTGTCGTTTGCTCGTCTTAGCCTATTTTCTCGTATTTATTGTTTATTACTTTTTACCTTTTATTGATTTTTGTTTTTGAAGTTTGCAGTTACAATAAATATAAGTTAGTGAAATACGTTATTATATAAAATCTTTAATAGTATATTTGAGACAGTTTGTCGGACCATACCAGATTGCTTTTCCAGTCATATCCCATACTTCTTCATAAAATTGTCAAAAACTGGTTTTGTAAGTGAATTATAATTATGTAGCTTGCTTGCCGCGTACATTAAACTATACCTCGCAAGGCTCCGGCGAGGGACATTAGTGTACTTCTTATATTATTATCATGTGATTTCCGTGTCATGTCCTTAATCTTAATCTGAATATTTTTCCTGATCTAATAATTTGAAATTCTTGATTATTTTATTTTTTCAGTGATTTTATTTTGTTTATTTACTTTATTTTTATAAATGTAGACAAGTGATGATTTTCATCACCACAGAGCACGTAATATATAAAAATTTAAATATTAAAAGTGGTATTAACAAATTTTTCGACGGGGACCAAACTCGTGGACACATAATATAAAATTAAAAGTTTTATTATTCGATACGATGATTTTACACCATCCATACTACAAGCAGTGGGTTATTATTCCTAAATATAATCAGTTGGGTCGGGTTATCCTGGCAAGAAATGTAAAAATATCCTCTGTTTATTTGTATCAAACTCGGGTAAGAGGCAACCCGAAAGCGTATCCAGGCTGAATATGAATGCAAACTGCCCTGGCGAACGACCGAAATGGCGAAAATCAAATTAGGTATGGCGTGAATACTTCACGGCGACGTCGAGAAAAAATTGAAATCAAATATTCATTGACTTTCAACCGGATAAGCCGGCCCACAGCCATTTCAATACATTTTATTATCTATTTTTCGCGCGGCAATGGCCCAGCCCGCAGACGAGTGACTCGGTCCATCGCAAGTCGCCGATCTCATTGAATTAAAAATAGCAATAATGGCGTAATGTTCTTTTTGTCTATGATTTACTGCATTATAATGAGCTACGATGAAGACGTTATTTAATAGACTATCTGCCTGCGAAAATTCGTGAAAATGTGTTGAGTAGGTGTTGGCGACTGTCATTTGTGACACTTTAAAGGGAGATCTACCTACAAAGTTTAGATATTGTGATCAATGATTATGTAATCATATGGAGTGAATCTTGATTAATATATTTTTTTAATGAAAATAACGTTTGAAATTATCAATGAATGTCAAAGTTTGACACTTATGGTTCTACGATCGCGAGTTTTTTGGCGGGAACTTGACTTGCGGTTTGCTGCTCCTGTATTATAGTTTAAATAATAGTTTGAAGTGGATTTTGATATGTAAAAGTGATGCAATTTATTTAAAAAAGACAAGGCGGTATGGCTTTGTTCCTTTGCCTGCTCTCTCGAGCGAATAATAAAAACAACAACATCTACGATCGCTATTCTGCTGCCAATCGTGTGCGATTATCTGAAATCCATGCACACACTGCTGTGTTCCGGTCTTATTACAGGCTGTGAGGTATTACATCTAAGTCCTCAGCGGTGACAACGCATCTGTAGACTTCTTTGTTTGAAAGTGGTTACAGATTTTCATGGGCTGCAGTGGTCAAATATTGTCAGGTTAACTGTAGGCGCGTTTGTTACATAAATTTTATAAGAAAAGAAAAATAATCTATACCAAATGGTAAACGTTAATAACGTTATAACGAGCTGATAAAGAATATATAAAAATTAAAAAATAAAATTTTCATTTAGTTCCACAATAAAAATTAAAGTTACAGCCTGTATACGTCCCACTGTTGGGCACAGGCCTCCTCTCATTACTGAGAGTGTTTTAGGGCAAGGAAATGTCCGCCGCGCTGCCCCAATGCATGTTGGCGAACTTCATATGTCTTCGAAATATATTTTTTTCTTATTTCTCAGACATGCAGGTTTCCTCATGATGTTTTCCTTCACCGCCGAGCACGTGGTAAATCAGTACTTAAAATTGCCATTAACAATTGGTGCCAGCGATGATTGAATCAGGGTTGCTCGCGTACTGTGAAACTTACAGCGAGCGCTAACCATCTGAGCTACCATGGCTCTTATTATTACAATGACACTGAGTAAATAACGACGGATTATTTATTTTATTTTATTTTAATTATCGAGGACATAATAATAACCTTCAGATAAAGCATAATCCAGATCCAGAATTTCGGCCAGTTTTAACGGACACTAGCATAGGAAATCTGTGTAGAACAGGATTATAGTGCACCAGTGTGTAAGCACAGGTGTACTTTCTATACCCTCACTCTCGCAGTCCGATGGGACAGAAATCCGACACGACTAGGGAGAGGTCGGGCGCATAATCAACGGCTTAACGTACTTTCCGAGGCATTGGTTGAAACACAGCCAACTTCCTAACTCCGGTCTGATGCTGAGAATTTCTTGACCGATCCGTGATTCGAACCTGGGATCAGTAAGATTGTGCTCACTACCACTAAACCAAGGAGACAGTCACTACGAGGACATAAACCATGCATCTAACGACCAAAATAAACGAGATACTTATCAATTATGAACAATGTAATACGCTTGACGACAGTGTAGCGCTTCTAAGCCAGTTTGTATCTTAGTAAACAATAGCGTATAATGTATTTCAATCATTTAGCATACTTCTTTATTATGTTTCTAAGCGATAAAAATTGAATATTTTTTTTTATAAATCACGTGTTGAATGGGGTCTTTATTTAATGGGCGATATTAATGCAAAGCTGTTGAATCTGTGAAAAAC